TTTTTTTTTTTTTTTTTTTTTTTTTTTTTTTTTTTTTTTTTTTGGGGGGGGGGGGTTGTGGTGGTTGGGGATCTATATGCAGTTATATTTTAAAGTTTGGCCTCTTATATGGTGGAGATTCAATTTCGGATATTGATGTAGAGTACTGGTAATTGCTTTGTGATAGGTTGAAAAAGCGCATAATGCTGATGTTCATTGTGTTGATTGGAGTCCTCATGATGAGAACCTTATCCTCACTGGGTATATCCTAATCCCTTTGCTTCTGTATATTTATAAAATCAATAAACTTAAAGAATGCCAGTTTGGTTATGTAATAATGCTTTTGTGTGATGGTGCTCGTTTTGCGTAAATTGGGTTCCTAAAAGATTGTGGTGCTACGAAATCATTTCAGGTCCGCGGATCATTCTGTCCGCATGTTTGATCGCCGCAATCTAACTTTTGATGGAGTAGGATCACCAATCCATAAATTTGAAGGTCACAGAGCTGCTGTTCTTTGTGTCCAGGTAGTATACTTGTTTTTGTCTGGTTGAATCTACTTTTTTTTTTTAATAACAGTATCATTTGCAAACACTGTTGTTTAACTGGTATTCCTGTTACAGTGGTCTCCTGAGAAGGCATCTGTCTTTGGAAGTTCTGCAGAAGATGGTTTCTTAAACATCTGGGATTACGAGAAGGTTGGGAAGATCCTCCTATCTCATCAGATCTTCCATATCATTTCTCTATGTCTGTATGTGCAGTCAAGATAGATGCCCTCTTCACCTCAACTGGACCGGTTTGCCTGAATATCAGCTCTGGTGTTACATGCACTGATTTGGCTATGTATTATTAGAAGGAATCCATAACTCTTGTAAATTTTATGGTCGATCCTGCCATGCACTCTGATACCGTTATCAACACCACATGACTCGAGTATGGAGACATGAATGTGATGCCTTAAGATAATAAAAAGATCAATAAGAGATCAATTAGATACCTGGACATGCATGCATGGCTGAGACCCAATCTGAGTCCATGAAATATAGTTGCCATAGCTCTTTATAATTCTTATCTGTTTGGCGGCAAGGATGAGATTCTTCAGATTTATATTTGTAAATGGTTAAAAATCAGTAACTTAAAAGCCAATTGTTAAAGCTAAAAAGGTAAAAGGAGTTGGAAGAAAATATTCGATTTCTCAGTGTAGATTTTGAATGCATACATGGAATACCCGTTCAACACATGGGAAGCTGCTACCGAATCAACCCTTGATCAACCTTCACAAAACCCTACACTAAGCCTAAAATTTTGGACTCAGTCAGAGTAGTGCTGCTTCAACCCCTCACCCAAACATACTTACGATGTACATTTCTTTTCTTGCACTCTGTTTTGTTTTCCCAAAAATGATCTTCTGCATGATCTTGCAGGTTGGCAAAAAGAATGAAAGTAGGACGAGATCTCCAAGTGATCCCCCAGGGTTGTTTTTTAAACATGCTGGCCACAGGTTTGATGTCATTATATTCCCTCTCTAGAAATAGAAAGCTTAGTTAAACATCTAGTATCTGTTGATCCGAACTTTCTCTCCAATCATGTGTTCTTTTCCTCTCTTATTCATTGTTGTTACTGCATATTACTAATTTTATTTTTGCTCATTTTTATGAACTTTTGATATCACTTGGGAGACGAATGAGAAGAATATCAGCTCGTTTTAGTTGTGGAAAATCTAACCTCATATTTTGCCCTTCATTGTTTTGGAGGAAAAATATAGGTGGGTTAGTGTTGGGGGTGTTTTGCCTTTTCAAATATTCCTCAGTTAACAAGCTGACCACATGGTCTCCACTCTTTTTCAAGTCTATGCGGCCTGCTCCCTTATCCTGCTTGCAGAATTTTTTTGACTAACTTATTCCCTCTCTCTCTCTCTATATATAACATACATGCACGCTCACAAGTAGTCGTGTGCTTGCTGTTGCATTTTTATTATTTAAATGCACGGAAGGGGTTTTACAATTACTGGTGTGAGAGTTGGAATCAATAAATTTGATACGGATTTATACAGATCATATGAATTTTTCAAGGATGTAGAAGAAAATGGATTTATCTTGAAGAATCTATAAAAAAAAAATTATGTTCAGGATTTAGTATTTGCCTAGTTAACTCTTTGATTTAGAAGGAAATAGTTGGTGCTGAATATTACCCTCTTCCTCACATCCGAAGGACCACAGCCTTAAATTCTCTGCCTTGCATTGTGTTACAGGATTTTTGCTAATTTCATGCTGAAATGATTACTACCTTGTCATACTCACAGGGATAAAGTTGTTGACTTTCACTGGAATGCATCTGATCCATGGACGATTGTGAGTGTATCTGATGATGGTGAAACCTCCGGTGGAGGTGGTACACTACAGGTATTTTGATGTTCTTTCCCATCCCCTTATTTTTATGTGTTTAATTGTAGTTTTGAGTTTTAACTCCAATTTTGGGAGATGGTCTATGCAGATATGGCGCATGACGGACTTATTGTACAGGCCGGAAGAGGAGGTCTTGGCTGAGCTCTATCAGTTTAAGGACCATGTGATTGAATGCACTTCGAAGTCTTGAGAGAGTATCACTAGCTAGCTAGAGCCTAGAGGACTTGCACGAAAAGTCTTTTCGTATTTCTTATTGTTTGAGCTTTAGTTGTATTGTTATTTGCTTAATATAGCTGTTTCAGACATTGGATATGCGAATTTTTATGCTAGTTTAGCCAAGAGATTACAACGGTCTGGATCTTGTGAAGTCGGGTTAAACTTTATAGAGGGTGAAGTATGGTTCACTGTGACCGCACGATAAGAATTGCGTGCTTCGTATTAAGTCACATCATAGCTGGAACTCCTGAATATGAATTTCATAGAATCACAATGCCCATTAAGGGACTAGAGAAAACCAGGCTATTGGTGGTAGATTACTGTTACAAACAGATGAACCTATGCTATGTCGGGCTTTGTGATAATTTCAATGGCTGGGTGAACAGTCGAAAAGTATGTTTGTGTGTGTGTGAAATAATGAGTCAATCAACGAGACAAGTTTGAATGGAATCCACCAACAAAATATGTAAAGATTGGTGAATGACTGTCCACTGCCAACCCGATGAGCATTTTTAGGGTTTAAGGAGTAAATTAGTATACATTTGTTAGGTTGAGGGACTGAAGCATTAAGCGTAGCTTTCCTGATGGCACTGGCAACATATAAAGTAGGCATCAATTCACTAACAAGCAAATAGAGGGAGCAATTTGAATAAATGTATACTTGTTGGGGAGCATTTATAGTATCGAAAAAAATTTGAGGCAAATTGTGATTTAAATGCATCAAATTACGGTTTAAAAAGGGTTTGTATATTTCGATATCAATCTTAATGAACTTGTCTCAATCCAAGTTTTTTGGATCANCAATTAGATACCTGGACATGCATGCATGGCTGAGACCCAATCTGAGTCCATGAAATATAGTTGCCATAGCTCTTTATAATTCTTATCTGTTTGGCGGCAAGGATGAGATTCTTCAGATTTATATTTGTAAATGGTTAAAAATCAGTAACTTAAAAGCCAATTGTTAAAGCTAAAAAGGTAAAAGGAGTTGGAAGAAAATATTCGATTTCTCAGTGTAGATTTTGAATGCATACATGGAATACCCGTTCAACACATGGGAAGCTGCTACCGAATCAACCCTTGATCAACCTTCACAAAACCCTACACTAAGCCTAAAATTTTGGACTCAGTCAGAGTAGTGCTGCTTCAACCCCTCACCCAAACATACTTACGATGTACATTTCTTTTCTTGCACTCTGTTTTGTTTTCCCAAAAATGATCTTCTGCATGATCTTGCAGGTTGGCAAAAAGAATGAAAGTAGGACGAGATCTCCAAGTGATCCCCCAGGGTTGTTTTTTAAACATGCTGGCCACAGGTTTGATGTCATTATATTCCCTCTCTAGAAATAGAAAGCTTAGTTAAACATCTAGTATCTGTTGATCCGAACTTTCTCTCCAATCATGTGTTCTTTTCCTCTCTTATTCATTGTTGTTACTGCATATTACTAATTTTATTTTTGCTCATTTTTATGAACTTTTGATATCACTTGGGAGACGAATGAGAAGAATATCAGCTCGTTTTAGTTGTGGAAAATCTAACCTCATATTTTGCCCTTCATTGTTTTGGAGGAAAAATATAGGTGGGTTAGTGTTGGGGGTGTTTTGCCTTTTCAAATATTCCTCAGTTAACAAGCTGACCACATGGTCTCCACTCTTTTTCAAGTCTATGCGGCCTGCTCCCTTATCCTGCTTGCAGAATTTTTTTGACTAACTTATTCCCTCTCTCTCTCTCTATATATAACATACATGCACGCTCACAAGTAGTCGTGTGCTTGCTGTTGCATTTTTATTATTTAAATGCACGGAAGGGGTTTTACAATTACTGGTGTGAGAGTTGGAATCAATAAATTTGATACGGATTTATACAGATCATATGAATTTTTCAAGGATGTAGAAGAAAATGGATTTATCTTGAAGAATCTATAAAAAAAAAATTATGTTCAGGATTTAGTATTTGCCTAGTTAACTCTTTGATTTAGAAGGAAATAGTTGGTGCTGAATATTACCCTCTTCCTCACATCCGAAGGACCACAGCCTTAAATTCTCTGCCTTGCATTGTGTTACAGGATTTTTGCTAATTTCATGCTGAAATGATTACTACCTTGTCATACTCACAGGGATAAAGTTGTTGACTTTCACTGGAATGCATCTGATCCATGGACGATTGTGAGTGTATCTGATGATGGTGAAACCTCCGGTGGAGGTGGTACACTACAGGTATTTTGATGTTCTTTCCCATCCCCTTATTTTTATGTGTTTAATTGTAGTTTTGAGTTTTAACTCCAATTTTGGGAGATGGTCTATGCAGATATGGCGCATGACGGACTTATTGTACAGGCCGGAAGAGGAGGTCTTGGCTGAGCTCTATCAGTTTAAGGACCATGTGATTGAATGCACTTCGAAGTCTTGAGAGAGTATCACTAGCTAGCTAGAGCCTAGAGGACTTGCACGAAAAGTCTTTTCGTATTTCTTATTGTTTGAGCTTTAGTTGTATTGTTATTTGCTTAATATAGCTGTTTCAGACATTGGATATGCGAATTTTTATGCTAGTTTAGCCAAGAGATTACAACGGTCTGGATCTTGTGAAGTCGGGTTAAACTTTATAGAGGGTGAAGTATGGTTCACTGTGACCGCACGATAAGAATTGCGTGCTTCGTATTAAGTCACATCATAGCTGGAACTCCTGAATATGAATTTCATAGAATCACAATGCCCATTAAGGGACTCGAGAAAACCAGGCTATTGGTGGTAGATTACTGTTACAAACAGATGAACCTATGCTATGTCGGGCTTTGTGATAATTTCAATGGCTGGGTGAACAGTCGAAAAGTATGTTTGTGTGTGTGTGAAATAATGAGTCAATCAACGAGACAAGTTTGAATGGAATCCACCAACAAAATATGTAAAGATTGGTGAATGACTGTCCACTGCCAACCCGATGAGCATTTTTAGGGTTTAAGGTGTAAATGAGTATACATTTGTTAGGTTGAGGGACTGAAGCATTAAGCGTAGCTTTCCTGATGGCACTGGCAACATATAAAGTAGGCATCAATTCACTAACAAGCAAATAGAGGGAGCAATTTGAATAAATGTATACTTGTTGGGGAGCATTTATAGTATCGAAAAAAATTTGAGGCAAATTGTGATTTAAATGCATCAAATTACGGTTTAAAAAGGGTTTGTATATTTCGATATCAATCTTAATGAACTTGTCTCAATCCAAGTTTTTTGGATCAGCCCTAATTTTACCACCTTTAGTTGCAATTTGATCTCTTGATGAGATTGGATCGTAACTTTTGATATGATTCTAAAAAATTATTTTTTTAGGGCATAGAAATCCCAATTTAGCAATGTTGGGGCGGTCAAAACTGAAAGCAAGCAGGATACATACGTCTATCCTCGTATATGTCGTTGCTTGCTTTTGCCACTCCAATCCCATCATTTTCATATGAATTTATCCACATGATGTGAAACTTGGCAGCCTAGTCACTATCCAACCATCAGCAATTTTGTACAAGTTGTTTATGACTCTGTGCTATGCCCACCCCTATTAACATTTGTGAAAATTATCGACAAATTACGGATTTGGACCACTTTAATACATTTTTTTTACAAAAAAATTCTCTTTTATATAAACTAGTAGTGCATTACACGTAAATAATTTATATACATAAAAATTAATAAGACATATTAAATATATATGTATTTAAACTAAATATTATTTTAAATTTATTAAACTTAATTTTTTATTGTTCATATTCTATTATAAAATCATAAAAGCTTTGTATATTCTTAAAATTCTTTATTTTAACTATTAAACAAAAAGAAATAGTTAAAGTTCTATTGCTTTAGAATTTTGTGATTGAGATTAATTTTTTAGTGATATTTGAGGAATTAAATTTTTTGAAAATTATTTGATTAGGATTTAACTTATAATTTCTTGAATAAAATAAAAGTAATTTTCAATATATTAATCACATTGGAACCTTACTATAATTAAAAATTAGTTATGTCAAGTGGGATAAAATTTAATAAATTACAAGCACATTAAAATTCTTAAAAATTCAAGTTTTACTTAAAAATATACTACAATATCTATTTTTACATTAAATATTAGTACAACTTAAAAATTTTATTGTAACTGAAGAATTATACTGATGTAACATAAATTAACTTTTAAAAAATAATATATACAATTATCTTTTATCTTAAAAATGAAAGGGTTAAGCTTTTCGATGAAAAATAAAATACACATATATAAACATAATGTTATCTTTGCATATGAGATAAATAATATTAGATTGAAGGAGTTTTTGAAGATTTTTTGAACACTTTATTAAAAATATAATGATGCATATTTTTTTAATGGTAATATAGTCAAACAAACTTTTTTGTAAAAATTGATACATAATAATATAATAATAATTTAGATATTTAATTGTCAAATAATAGAGTGATCTTTGTAATCTTGTATAAGAGTAAAATAGATATTCAAAAATTTTCATCTTAAGATACTTTTATTAGTAATATAAATATAGATATAGATAGAGTAGTCATTACCTGTGCCTGAAGACACTATACAATAAACAAAAATTTTTAAAAAAAAAACAAACTCAAAAGAAATTGCCTAAAAATATTTATATCAATTCTTCTTTTAAAATGATTCAAAATATATAGTAAATTATATCCTTCATTGGAACTGTCATAAAAATAAATAAAAACAACACCATATATGCAAATGCCTCTGAAAAAAATAAATAGTAACATAATTTATTGAAATTTATAATATTTAAGCAATAAATACAATAAATAAAATCTTGTTCATTTATAAGACTTGTGAATTTATCACTTTTAATACCACTCAATCCAAAAAACACAACATAATTATAACCTCAATCACTATATTTCTAGTCCACCTAATTGCCAAGTAATAAGTACCTCACGTAAAAAAAAATACTAAGAAAATACATTTTTTTTTGGAGGGAGAAAGGGAAAGGGGGAGGGGGACTTAAATCCTTGACCTCAAAAAATTAAAGTCTTTACAAGACAAGGAGTATCATTAAACTAAATGACCATTATTAAGAAAACACAATTAAATTCACAATTTTTAAACGATAAATAAAATTACTCAAATCTTGCTTATTTATAAAACTCATGAATTTATAATCATTCAATCTCAAATGACACAATATAATTATAAATTTAACCAACAAATGTCAAATCCTCCACATTTATAATATAAAGCAAGGTAAAATTTAATAAGCTTATTCGACAGTTTCAAATAGATTCATCTAACGACCACAAACATTCATCTCAAAACCATTCACATAGAATTTGCCTCTCTCAAATCCATTACTTCTAACTTACGTGGCACCGTGCCTTTAGACATGAGTTATTTTTAGTATAAATATACACAGAAACATACCCACACACATTTTTTTTTAATTATCAACAAACCTTCCTAACCAATAATTATTTTTTATTATAAATACAATAATTCAAGTTTTTAAGATAAAATAATAATAAATAAATATTTAATTAAAAAATAAGATAAAAATCACGGACAACCCTTGAGTTTTGACAATATTATACGGACATCTCTTGATATTTTATAAATAACACGGAGACCCCCTGAGGCTTGAATTAATTGCACGGAGACCCCTTCTGTCTTCCTTTCGTCAATGTTGCTAACAAAAATTGATAATTTCATCCCAATTTTTTTTTATTTTTATAATTGCCCTTCTCCAAATTTAATACCAAAAAAATAAAAAATTTAATAAAATCAAATAAAATTTAATTTAGCACCTAAAAAATTAATATAATTTAGTACACTAAAAATTGATTTAATGAATTTTAATATTAATTTGATAACAATGAAAATTAATTTGATATTAATTCGACAAAGTTGAATATAAATTGGACAAAATTAAATGTCAATTTTTGATAAAATTATATATTAATTTACAATCTAAGATTCATTTCATATTGAATATTATTTGGTGTTTATAGTCAATGTATTATTTTTTATTTACATTAAGTGTTATTTACAAATTAAGAAGTAAGTGGCAAAATACATGTCGTTAGATATATAAAAACCTTGAATTAATTTCATGAAATAAATAGTTGCATAACATTTAGTTTCATCTGTTTTATGAAATACATAATAACAAAAAAACATACGATAAACAAAAAAATAATAATATTGAGAGAGAGAGAGAGAGATGAAGAAAGTTATATGAGAGATAAAAATCTTAAAATTGTAAAAAGAATGAAAGTCTAATTAGGACCATCGGATCAAAACGATTTGAACTACAAAAAGTTCAAAACAAATAATTTAATTACTTTAATAAATAGATTATCTATTATTAATGATTGAAGAATTAACTTGGTATACAATAAGTCTTACTTAAATACATGATAAAAACCGTGGTCCAGTGGTTGGCCTATCATTTGGTAACTCAAAGGTAGCAAGTTCAATTTATTTCACCTAAGGACTAGCCACCTTTGTCTCTTTAAGGACATGTTCTAGACCAGTTCAAACTACGGTAGCCAACTATTGAGCTTGAGGGAATAGTTGTCGCAAACTTGCATATTCATGAAATCTCACATTCTGAATGATATTTAATGAGTAAATTACACTTTATTCTCTTGAACTATTATTTTTATGTTACTTTGTATCCTCAATTATAATTTTTTTTATATTACATCTTAAAGTATCAATTTTATTTTATATCACTTCAGTAGATAACAACAAACTTAAAAATTTTTCAAAGGAGAGAGAAAAATCCTAAAGAACTTCCCGCCAAGTGTTTTGAACTACTTTGTTTTACATCTTTTGCAACCAAATGGTTGTTGGGAAGAAAAAAAAGATTAGCTAGAGGAAGAAACTTTGGAGTTTAAGAAAGACAAAATCATGGATGTGAATTTTTCTTAATTTTTGATCTACACATGTGCAATAGACAATTACTTATTGACAATACAGGCCACTCATTTGCGCATTTATCGTCAAAAAATTGACAGTAGTTATCTATTAGATTGATATGAAACTAAATTAATATTTTAGGGTACCATGTAAGAATTTTTATAATTGAGAGTACAAAGTGAAACAAAGATTCATGAGAAAAAAATATAATTTACCCAATATTAAATATATTCATTTATCGAATAAATACATCTTGAGTTTATATTCAAGAATTAATTTACTCAAAATGAGAGTTAAATTATCTATTATTTATTTTTTTCAAACTTTGCCGTACACAGAAAAATTTGTACACTAGAGCCGTAAAACAAATCAAGAGAGTCATTGGATTAATGGTTATTAATATCTCCCATGGACACAAGGTTAAAAAAAATTCACACACAAAAAAAATCTTTATTAACTGTCTCTTAACTGAGTGAAGTGCCTCGTTG